AAGGTTCCTATACGGTCAGCCAAAAGGCACAATCTTCGCTGCAAATGGCAGAGGCTGCCCCTGTTAATCGATAAGAGGCCGTCTCTGTGGCAATACGCAGCGATACTCTCACTACATCGAGCACAAAGCCTTTCCCTGGGGCGCCGACAACACTGCTCGCCGAGCGCTGCACGCCTACAGTTAATACACACTATAGGCCATGAAGCGTGGCTGCATCACCTTCCCGAAGGTCAACCGGAACATTATCCGTGGTCCACTAACCACATTCAAAACAGAAGACCATATAATGCAGACTTCGGGAACATGAACATGCAAGCAACAACAAATAACAACGTCGGCTATTCAGTTCAGGTCTCCTGTGTCTTCCTCACCCTAAACATCAGAAGATGCAGTTTGGTCATCAGCAGCCTGTTCACAATATCACTGGAATGCGACCAATCGCGGGGCGCAAGCCGCATCGCAGCCAGAAGAACAGTGCGGGCAGTGGAGCCACATGAGAAGGCTTCCCCACCGGTCGGCCCGTGCAAGCACCCCTTCCTACCCCGAGCATCGAGACCCCTAAGACAAAAGCTGAGAATGGTGGGCCGCGTAGGTGCACTGCCAGCCCGAAGTACCCCCTAGTCGTACCTGAAACTACAGAATACACTTATCGACTCTACTAACAATCTGCGAGACCCCTACTCACGAATGCCTCAAATAAACTGCAATCGAAACCTCCCTTGACTAAAACAATCAGGGATCTGCGCGAAATAAAGTTTGTTTGCGGCCGCTTTTGTCTACATAAACGTGCAGTTATGAATTGTTCAAATCCCCGCGTGCAATGACAGCCCGAAACACCTTTCCGTCTGGAAATGTGGGGCATGCTTGTGGGGTAAGAAAATGCGGATACACAGAATCCACGTTTACGCTATTTGCAGACCTGCCTTCTTTCTCATTTCGGCATCAATCAGCTTCTGCTTCTTCTCTTGTGCGTGCTGTGACTTGATACCCAACTGGCCGCCTCCCCAACGTCTTCTCAGCTCGGCGTTGTCGTTGAACATCGCTCGGTAGTTCTTGCACTGCGCCTCCAGCTCAGCTTGGTCCTGCAATTTTGATAAACACATAAACCCCAGAATATAAATCCTGCTGCCGTACTGTGTCTACATCTACCAGGAATATGGACGTGAAGTACATAGGTGCGGCGTCAGAGAACTTTGAAGACTTTGTATATTCGTCACTGTTGCTAGTTAGCAACTCATGAAGAAATGGAATCATCCGCTGCCGCGGTACTTCGTGAGGCTTACAATGCAATATTTACCACCAATGAACATCGTAAACATTATAAAACAGGGAAAACATGACAAAAGCTGCACTACACGATATCATCACAACCTCCACTGCTTCAGATGAAGACGATTATTTTGATGCCGACGTGCCATTGCAGGGGATGCCCCCCGCTAGTCAACAAAAAGGATCATCCTGGAGGTATCTATAAATAGCCATATATTTGTAGATATATATGTACATACACTGAGACAGGTTTAAGAAATGCGAACACCATCTAAACCATGCATGTAGTACACATGCCCCCGAGAAGGGGGAGCGCCTATTCCCTTCAGTTGAAGACGATTATAATTTGTAGACCTCATTGCGATGCCGTCGCTGGCCAACAAATTAAGTTTTCATCACTGAATTGGCGCTATGATTGCATGCGGAGATGCATCCACCTGTGGTACGTGAACCACGGAGCACGACAAAACATGCACGAGCAGCTGGCAACTCACCTCCTTTCTGACGGCATCAACGGCAATGACGGCGCATGTCTTCTTGTGGACGAGCTGTCCGAGCCTCGCCTTTCCCTTGACGATGCAGTAGGGGACGTCCTTCTTTCTGCATAGGGCGGGGAGCCAGCAGACGAGGTCTACGGGAACAACGTCATGGGCAATGACGACAAGCTTGGCTTTCTTGATCTCAATAAGGTCAGTGACATGGTTCAGCCCGAACTTCAGCATGACGGGCTTCTTGCTTGTTGCCTGAGCGCCCTCAGCTTGCTTCTCTCCCTCCGCAATCAACCGAGCCTTCTTCTCCCCGCGGGTTTCTGGCTTGTACTTGGCGAGCAGGCGCATTAGCTGGCCGGTCTGTAAGCAACATCAACGAAAAACGAACAAACATATAGACGCAACACTCGCTTCTAAACAAGAATATACAGCCGGTACACACAAACATCCCCTCACCTGGTTCTTGTCCAGAGTATGGGTGAACTGGTTGATAGCCGGAGGGACCTTCAGCCTCTGCATCAAGACCCGTCTCTGGCGCTGGAGAAGCACATACTTGGGCCACTTGACAAACCTGAAACAAAGAAGAGCGCAGAAGGCCCCAAAACACAATTTTCATTTGAAGAAACGTGAACCCAATCGAGGATCCGTTTACACAACCGGAACCTGCCGATGCCATGCAGCACATACCTCGTTAGTTCCCTCCTAGGCTGAATATCGCAGCCTATACGAAAGTTTCGAGGGGTCTTCTGAAAGATCAGCGACTTGGTTGTCTTCTTCGGGTTCTTCCCCGCTGGATTTGACGGGAGCTTCTTCTTAGAAGCCCCCGTTGCAGCCTTCTTTGCAGCCGGCGCCTGCGCAAACGACCAACGCAATTGTTTACTCTGAAATCGAGCGAGAAAGGGAAGAAATATATGAAAAAAAGTTGGCACAGTGCAAGCTCCCTCGCACAACTGAGGATTCGTCACCGCCTACGCATTGCCAGCAAGGAACTTGGGGCTTAGTTCTAAAAATTCAGTAAAACTAATCCTATGCAATAGAGAGAATACAAGGGAAAGCCTGATGCATCTGAAGACGACACGAGAGGCAGAGCCTAAGCAGCAGGCCCTATGGGGGCTTTCGGCCCTCTGGAAGCCATTTTTCCTGCATGAACTGTGCGGAACCGTAGTTACTAAGCGAAGAACAAGATCAAAGGAAGCTGTTTTTAGAGAGACAAAGGGGAGAGGAGAATGCAGAATATTCCATGTGCTGCAAATGTTGAATTGTGGGGTGGTCGTATGGTGTAGACGACATCATGAAGACCCACCATTGTGCCCGCGTTCTGAGAGGCTGCCTTTGAATAAGGGGAAAAAGAAAACCGTTCTTCCTTGCACAAACTTTACCCGTTTCCCCCAAATCCTTCAAATCTATTCGAACAGGAAAGCTCAAGGCAGCTGCTGCCCTGGCGAAGCGGCGGCTGCATCCTCTGGCCCCAACCTCGCATGCAGCGGGCACGGCACTCCCCACAGCATATCATCTCGTAATTTCGTATCTGTTTTGTAGTGAAAAAAGAAACTCTAATATTAAAAGCATTGATATTTTGTTAACTGCATCAGGAGATAGTTTTTTCCGAGTGACCCATGGTGGCTTTTTAGGTGAAGGGGCGTTGCAGCGCTGCCTTCTTGATCATGAAAGCTGTTCTGGTGGCCACTATAAAGATACGCACGACATGTCCCCCAGTGTAGGCCAGTCAATAAATTTGTATCATTTTAAAATCCTGGCGAGTACCACCATCGTCTACCAGTCTCCTTGTGGCTGCAGTGTATCGCGTCGGAGTGCATAGCATGGTCTGTCTGCAGTTGGAAAGTGCATGTGTACTGGCGTGTAGGCTGTGCACTGAGGGCCAAATACGTATTTAACAATGGTGGATAGTGTTAGAGCATTCGTCACGTGGGTTAGTCTTGCAACACCAGTTGTAGCAATGTGCCCTCCAACTTAGGCTGCCTCGTTTCCGCAGCAGCCTCAGGCCCTTATGCTACTTTAGTGGTATGTATCCGGTAGCCCACCTGCGAATCTGTGCTTCGCTGCTCTCACCTGTCCCAGTGAGCCATGCGGCTCTACCAAGTGTAGCCATGATCTTCTCGGGTGATCGTTGTGAGCTGTAATAAGCTCAAACAAGTTAGGGTACGAGCTCGCCAAAGAAGCCTAGTTCCGTGCCAGTTTCCAGGTAGCCTGGATAAACTAGCATAAATGCCTTACAGGTGGGCTGCCTGATGCACACCACTAATATGTGGTGAAACACTTGCAGAAAGAAATCTTTCTCCAAGAGCTTCGGAAGTGTCTTAGTGCCCTCGTTTAGACATACCTATATATGAAACTTTCGCAGGTCTGCTACGCATGTTTACCCCGACGTTAGCAAGTAAAAAGTTACAGCAGAATTGAGAAGGTTTGAATGCGGGAGGCATCACTAGAGAGGTACTCCGCTAAGAATCTGAGTTTTGTCAGCAGAAGTCCAGCGATGGAATTGGAAATGCTTCAGAGCACTGTTATCGTCTGAATAGAGCCGATGCGTAGCTGGATGCGCCAGGGTGAGGGAACCAAGCAGTGAAAGGGTAGAACTCGCCGGTATTATGTAAAGCGTATGACACCAGCCTATCTTAGAGGATATGAACGGACTTGAAAGACTACACATGGAGATATGAAACCTATTAATTTTGGATCGTTGAATACTACTATCTCCCAGAAGAAGACAGGAGCGAGAATACACTACCGCCAGCACTCAGAAATCTCGGGGGACATATACCGACCGGCGCATATGCTTTTGCAACAAGCAAGGCTGCAGCATTAGGGAGTTCACACTTAGAAGTAGAACTAATGGACTGAAAGAGCAGGACTCTAGGAAGCACCCTCAGGAGAACGAATCAACAGTAGGAAGAGAACCTGGACAACTGGCAACACGCGGTGAACCATTGGATGCACGAATTAAAAAGAGGCAAGAGCCGAGCCTGCAAATCCAACACGAGTAAGCTCTGCGCTTGACCGGGGTTGTGTCAATACTCAGGAGTTGCTAGCGCTACGTGACACATGCTGCGGAGTGGGTCTGAGCTGTGAAGCTACAGCGAAGTGGTGCAGCCTACCCGTCTGTTCACTGGTTCAGTATAGGTGACTGCACTTCGCCGGTAGTAGATAGGGAACGAGGACCGGCAAAAACTTATGGGGGTGAAGTGAGTGATCAATTCAGATATGAGGGATACTACCATGATGCGGAACTTCAGCTTTGGAGCACTGCACTACGTCATAACCCTGTACCCCATCGATCCCAGCAGACTCTGCATCCTCTTCTGTAAGAGGAGACGAAACCCTGTCCCAAGACGGAGGCTCCTACGCAGTGCAAAGGCGCTGCAGGAATCGACGGAGAACCTTATGCATACTATCACGGCGGTGTTACAAATACCACTGCTTGGGAGTTGTTGACACAGTAAGCACTGTAGGGACAGCAGAAGTTAGCATAATTGAAAAGTTCTCATAGGCACACGATAACGGGGAGCTTCCAGATTCCAAGTTCACAGCTAGGCAGCTACACCAAGTATTATTGAGGCAGTCAGTCTTCTCTATTGAGTCAAAGCGGATTTCAGTAGGTTCGCGCATATGTCTCGTATACCCGTTATTGGGCTGCAGAGGCTAATACGTTAGCCGCCTATCGCAATTGAGAATGCTGCCCTACCGACTACATTTCGGTACAGTTGGCTGTAAAAAATGGCAGCTGGACCTGTGGAGTATCTAGAACAAAATTCAGGGCAGCCGCAAGAGTTTTGCCCCACTCTCTATTGGAATATTTGATTGTACATAGAGAATCGAAGCTTGTGTGCGGTCGATTTTGCAGGAACTCCTGAAGGGCAACTAAGAGGTCAACCTGATGCACCGAAGATGTGGCTAATGCATAAAGTTATACAAATAAAGTAACTAGATTCTATCAGCCCTTGGGTAGACCAGTTAACTCCCAATGTACGTAAGAAAGAACACGGCGCGGGCGCGCTACCGATAGTTCGCTTGGCGGCGAATCGTCGGCAGTGCAGAAAGCCGCTATGTTCGGCCACGCAGATCCGGTAATTAAGGGATATTTGCAAATTTAATTTATACTTTCAATACATGCACAGCTTTGTCTACAAACGGACCGTTCATGGGGAAGCCAACGGCGAGAGCACATGCCGATCAGCTAGCCTGCCGCTACCGAAACTCAGCTCGGTCACAGTCGATGGGTTCTTGCACTTGCCTAGGCAAGAGCAGCAAGTTTTTCAAACACCCTTCCTCTTTAATTTTCACTAAATATTGTCTTAAAACCTCCTTGGCCCTGTGCTAAATACTGTCTCAGCCGGTAGGGCTGCATTGAGTTCCGGTTTCTGCACACGCTCGGACGGAATCCGGCTACAACGCTCACGTGGGAAGCGTTGATCCGAGGTCGCATTCACAAGCCCACATCGTTTCTGATAAACTGTTCTTAGACGGCTCCAAAATGGAATCCTCTTCCCCCTGCAGTGTCGTCACTGACGAGCTACCAGCACCGGTGGAGCACAAGGTGGCCGCTGCCGACTCCAAGACGACCTTAGAAGAGGCAGGGCAGTCCACCGTTTGCTGCAGCAGTGAAGATGAATACAACAGCGGAGGTGTTTACCCCAGCGACGATGAACGCCAAGACAGTGACGCCCCGGCGCAGCAAACGCAACAGCAGCAAACCCCACCACCGGCTGCCCCGAAAGTAGTAGTACCTGAATTGCAGCTTCCTAGGCAGCCCTCTCATATGCCTGGGGTACAAACTGCTGGATATACGTACACCATCAGCAGTCTCGAGGACGTCACCGTAGAGCAGCCGCCGTCTTCCTGGCTGAAACCCCGTATCAAGATCGATGGCCCAGAGGTCTTTCATGGTGGGCACTGACATCCCGTGGCGTCAGCATGCATCTCAGCAGCATTCATGTGCTTCATCGTCGATTCTTGTAATTGTATGTTTTCTTTGTTGTGCTGTATTTTGTCCGCGTTGCTCCCCAGGCTTGCTGAGGGCTAATGATGAGAACCTGCCCGCTCACGAAACAGTACCATCTACAGAGACGTTCGTTTCCTTCCAGGGACAGGTCAGTGCCTCTAACTGCAACTCTGCAACATCTCTATCAGCTAGTGCAGTACGAGAGCAGAAAGACAAACTTGCCACCCCCCGTATGCAGTGACCGGCGAAGCACTTTATATTTGAGAAATGTTTCTTGAGAAATATGTTCGTTTAGCATATCAAATGATCAGAAAATCTTATCGTGGGACTTGAAATGCAACATTTGCTGTTTGTGTGTGTGCATGCGTGTGTATACGTTGGTTCTGCAGTGGCGCGTGGTGACCTCTGCGGGCACGAGCTCGTATATTGGCTCAACTATGAACCCCTGGGACCCTTCAACTGCTGCTTACCCGCTGCCTATTACCTACAAGGTTGCAGACGACGCAGTTGTTGTGAGGGATACAACTCCATCTCCCTCCCGGGCTGACTCCCGCCTCGGGTTCTTCGAGCGCTTCCGCCGGTTCTTCTGCACTTCCATTGCAGAATACATGCAAAGCTGAACGAGGCAGCGAGATGTCGCTACACTACACGTCCCAAGGCTTTAGCTATGCATTGATGCATGCACCTGTAGGTTGTACAGGAACTACGTAACCAGGCGATTGAGACTTCACCTACCACCCTCCACTGATTTGTTGTGCATGTTGTCTATGTCAAGCAACAGCATACTCATCACCAGCCATCACCACTACAGACTCGCGGGTGCTCTGTCTACCCACGTTTCTCCACATACTATCCCTTGGCCTGTGGCCCTATTGCGTTTCCTTAACGCAAAACCAAACGATTTCTCCCTCACACTGTTTACCTACGCCTACCCCTCTGTGTCGCCTCCACAGCATTTGTAACTAACTGCGTTCCCTGCGTGTGAAGGGAGCAAGTAGTGTTACCTGCACTAAGCTAGAGAACTAACTAGTACAGCGTATATGACCCTGGAATGAATGCAGTACACTGCAGTGTAGCGAAAAAAACAAAACGCTACAAGGCATTTGATGCTGTTTGTCTATTAGAACGAAACCCAGCCAGCTGGCCAGCACTGCGGCTTTAGCCGATTGGGTACTGGGGTAACCTTAAGACCAGTTTGGTTGCACATGCTGCAGGCAACCAGAAGTAAAATAAGCGCAACAGCGCGGGTATATACACAGGAACTGCTCAGCAGCTTAACTCCTGTTCATGTTCATCTGGCAGGCCTTTAGGTTATCCAAATAGTTCTGGCAGAGGGTGATGTCGGTGTGGCGTGTCATGCACTGCGCAAAAACAAAACGTACATACACCTCAAGAGGAATGATACGCCAATACTACTGCATAAAACGCAACACCTACAAGAGCTTGAAACATGACAAAGAGATGAACACCCGCACAACCGAATACGCTAGTTTCCTGCTCTCTGCTCCTCGATAGCAGGGAACAGGGTCTCAGCTCACCTGGTTAAGGTCCTCCTGGTACTGTGCGCACGGGTTCTGCTGAATGTTCTGCTGCATCATCTGTGGCTGAGGAGCAGTGACAGGGGCGCTGCTGTTGGTATGCACCACCTCCATAGAACGAGGCCCCATCACCGCATCGACCGCGCGTTGAGCAACACCAAACCCAACACCCGAAGCCATTCCGCTTGCAACATTTCCAACCATGTTCGACATGAAGCCACCGCCGCCGCCGCTGCTAGCCATGGGGGGAGGGCTGGGGGGAGCCGCCACAGGCGCGGGTGCAGCAGAGCGGGAACCGACTGCGCAGCAACAACAGCAACAACACATCCTATCAGAAAACATTTCACAAAGATGCACCAATACTACCCCTGCAAATGCAGTTGAAGCCGCGCATGCACAGCATCCTTTGTAGTAGAAGTACAGCTTCATGGGGCATCAATTAAGTGCCAGTGCCCTTCTATAGTCACAATTAACCCATTCAATAACGCCCAAACGCTATTCACGATCACAGAAATATCGGGCGGCGCTCTAGAAGGAAATATATTAAAAAGAGAGTGGGAAGAATAGTGCCAAATGAGACTGAAGCCCGGCTGTGGCTGCCATTGCCTTCTATGGGGCGCAATACTCGTACCGCCCAACCCTGCACTTCACCTGCCTCTCTTAACTCTGCTGAAATCCCCCAAAAAACAGAGAAAGAGCATAAGCACAGCCTCCACTCAGGCAGCACATGTAAACGGCGTCGCACCGCATGCTGCTGCAGAAAGCGAGCAACGGCCGCTCCTGGGGGAAAGCGGGTAAAGTTCGCCACAAGAATGCCGCCAGAGGGCATTTTAAGTGGTTTAAGCAGAAAAAAACACAGAGAAAGATGCATTTAAGCTCGTAAGAGGTGATATGAAGCACGAAACATGGAGTGAAACCTACAGAAGCCTCCCCCAGAAGAAGATCGGCGTGCGCCGGAACCACCGCGTTGTCTGGGCATTTTCAAGGCAAAAGGGCGATTAGCAACAAATAAACAAAAGGCTTGGGAAATATATTAAGAATTCGAAGAACGGAAGTGCTACGGTGAGCTGAATATTGCAACAGAGTGCAACGCAACGGCCTCCAGAGGCGCGGGGGAACAGCAGCCGCGCTGAGAGAGCCGCGGGGAGCCGTGTAGGGATATATAAGAGAGGCAGCGGCTGCAGCCGAAGCAATTATTCAATTATTGAGATAATTCTGCAAAAAAGAAAGTCTTAAATTCATAATTTATTCAAACAAAACACAAGAAAGACGCGCTAATTACCCGCGAGCTTGCGTCCCACCAGCTGAGCTCAAAACAAGACAGCTGTGCAGCAACAGCAGCAGTGTTTCTGCTTCCTTTTTCTTCTTTTTTTCACCGAGTTGACCCCCCTATGGACCTCTCTGTTTTTTTTGAATTCAATTGCAGGAGGAAAGGGTAGTGAGGGTTCGCGGCCCCAGCAGCAACTGACACGACGCAGCTTAGCCATGTGTCTGGCTGCAGCAGCGGGAACTGCAGCAGTTTTAGGGGGAAATTCATCAAGTTTCTGGGGTGTATGTACCTCGAAAAGCTGCAGTTGAAGCCCGGCTTCTCCATACGCCGCACACTTTTTGTCTCTTCTCCGCGGGTCGTCGGCCTGCCCCCCGAGATCGCAGCCATGACAGCTGAACCCACGAAATAAAACTATCTCCCCCAGCTACCCCTGTTGTTATTTATTTTGCTATGCAGACGGTTTAGACTCACACGCTGACCATCTGCATCTGTCTGTACACCGCGCGCATGCCTGGCCTTCTTACAGATTGCTATTTTTCGTGCTTTCTGCGGCGGACCCAGACCGAGGAGTTGTCGTTTGTATTTTCAGGGAACCTCATCTCACAAATAAACTATTTTCTGGTTGCCTGTTTTGTATAATTATAATTATAACTGGGGGGAGTACGCGCCTGTATTTTATCCTTATCATAGGGTAGAGTTGCGTTGCTGTTCATACAGCAGAGCAAACGAAACCAAGCCAAAACAAGTAGGCCTCTAGAAATACAAATATAGGCTTGAGGAGAATGGCTGGGAATTTCACAGATTTCGGGGATTTGGTTCTTATAATAGGGGATTTTCATGTACCCCAAAGAGCCATAGATCTGCCCCCATGCTTCAAGGAGCTGCTGCATACAGACAAGATACGCCACGTTCTATGCACCGGCAATGTAGGCAGCGAGTCGATGCTAGAATTCCTCAGAGGCATCGCTGGCTCTGTACACATCGTCAAGGGAGATATGGATGAGGGAATGGATTTCCCTGAATACAAAATACTGCAGTTCGGTGCGCATCGAAAAATCAGTAGAAAATAGCTGTCTATACACCGCACAGGCGGAGGAAAGCTTCCTCCGCATGAACTGTATTACAAGCGACTCGTTCAAGTTTTTAGTATTTATGTTTTATATTTCTGTTTATTGCGTTTCAGTTGGCCTGGTGAGAGAAGAAAATTCCATCTTTTTCTTTTTTTTTTTTNTTTTTTTTTTTTCGGGTTTCTTCTGTTTGCATGCAGGGGAGTTCAAAGTGGCGCTGCTGCACGGCCATCAAGTTGTGCCCTGGGGAGACGCAGATGCCTTGCTGCAGTGGCAGCGGCGGCTGGATTGCGACATTGTGGTGTCTGGACACACACACAGCAACTCCGTGCGAGAGGTAGAAGGCCGTTTCTTTATTAACCCTGGTTCTGCAACTGGGGCATATCAACCCTGGGCCCCCTCCCCTACCCCCAGCTTCATGCTGATGGCTCTGCAGGGAGCCTCGGTGGTGCTATACATATACGAAGAGAGAGACGGAAAGGCAGAGGTCGTCATGAGTGAATTCTCTAAACCCCCACAAAAATAAAATCATAACTGACGGCCTCGAATCTTTTATTCAACTTTTCAGGGTTTAGGGTTTAGGGTTTTGTTTTCTGCTGCTCGCTGCATCACAATGTGAAAAAAAAGATGAAACTGTTTGTTTAGGGGTTTAGGGTTCAGTGGAGTTGTCATGGCTCACGCGGCTTCGTATGCTGCAGCAGCAAGCCCTGCGACAGCAGCAGCAGCAGCAGCAGCAGCAGCAGGAGCCGGGCTGGTAGATCGCTGCATCTATTTTGAGCGCCTTGATTTATTTCGAGGTGTACGTACAGCCCAATAAATTCAGCTGCTCGGGGTGTTGCTGTGCTCACTGCCGCACCTATTCACGGCGAGAGGAGGCCTGGTGTTGCTCCTTCTCTACCCCACCATAGCAACAGCACTTGTGCTGTGAAACGGTTGCTTCTTGAGTTGCTGCATCTGCTGCTTCCTCGCAGCAGCAGACGGAAACGGCAAACCCTAGGCTTGAACCAGCATTATGTTTTGTTCTTTGCTCATCAGAATAATTTATTCATCTATATTTTATGTATATACACGAGCAAGCAGAAAAAAAAAAGAAAATAAGCGTGTAAAGCTATTTATTTCGCAATAGAAACCGAAGACGACACCCGTGTGCTGCTGCGAATCTATACATAGCAGCAGCAGCATGGAGTGATGCACAGCAGGTACACAGAATACCTATTGTAAATAAAAGTAATAGATAAATAAATAAATAAATAAATAAATAAATAAATAAATACCTATGGAGCTAGCTGGCTCCTCAGGGAGAAAGAAATAGCTTTACTTTGTTGGGGTTTCTCCCCATACAATTTCGTTCGCCTTGCACTGAACCCCCCCCGGCGTAACAAATTCATGAACGTTTCCAAATAAATAATATTAATAAATAAATAAATAAATAAATAAATACATCTGGAGCTAGCTGTTTCCCTTGCATTCTTTCACTGGCCACGCTAGTACTATATGGGGCGTTTGTTCTGTGCTTCTCTGGTTAGTGAAACAGAAAGCAGAAGCTGCATAGGTGCAGCCATTCATCATATTATAATATTCAGTAAGTTAAACAAATATAATAATATATAGGCATTGATGTTTATAAATATTATGTTTATGTTGCTCGATGCTCCCCTTTCTGATCATTACTATACTACGACGATTGGCTTCTGTTATATTTATTACTAATAGTTATCTTGTGAGAGCATTGCACTAAGAAAGAGAGTTGAAAAGAAGAAAAAACTGATAGTAGAGATCCTCACTGCCATCGTTTGCAGTCTGCTTCTCTCTCTCTCTCTCAGCTGTCAGTTGGCCTTCACTCATTCCCGCAGCATTTGAATTTATTTCTGATAAAACATATCACAAATTTTCGTATAAATGCTGCGCCGCTGCACCCGCAAGCCCCTCTCCCCCTGCATTTCAAGTACTGTATGCGGCACGCCGCCACAGCTGCAGAGCTCCTACTGAGAATGCATCAGACTAGGGGGGGGAAAGGGTCCTAGAGAAAACTACAAAGTTTTGTACAGGAGAAAGCAGATAGTATACGACGATGACGGCTCTTATAAGGGATTTAATGCTGTTTCTATGCTGCTTTCTCCTGCTGCTGAGCTTGCAGCTCGAAGCTATCTTGCTGCTGTGGAAGCCGTTCTAGGAAACACGAGCAGCACAAGCACAAGTTAGGGGTTAACAAAGGAGCGCTGTATAGCGACAAAGATGCAGCGAGGTTTTTTAATTGAATATATTAAGAATTTGTTGCTGGAGTGGTGTTGCGCCCTATAGCGGCAATACAGAGGTGACAAGACACCGCAGGATCTGCAAGCCGCAGCAACAAAAGAAACAACTCGCTTATTCAGTAAACTCTTTCTCGAGACTACAAGCCATAACGATACACATTGCTCATGCATTCACGCAGGAGCATCACATGCAACACCACTGGCTGTTGTGTTGCTGGGGTCTGGGGTGCTGGTTAGAGGCAGCAACTGCGGCTACTGCGGCTTTGTTTCTGCAGTATGAAGTATAATTTATAAGATTTTATTGGGGGAAATCAAAAGAAGAAGAATGTTCTTTACAGTTGTAGCTCTGCTGGGTTGTGGCCCGTGTTGCATGCAAGCTGGTGATATGCGCAAGCAAGCGGCAGGCGTAGTAAGGATGCAAATTGGTGCGTAAGCTGTTGTTCTGTTGGGGAAAGCGCATAGATTCTTGTGATTTATTTCGAATTAAAGAATAAAAAAAGGTTTTTTAGAAGAAGAAAGGGTTTATCTATCGCAGAAGCAGAAGAAACCTCAATCAGCAGCATAGGCTTGAGTTGCTGTTGTTGCGGTTACTACAGAGGCACCGCGACTGAGCGCCTGGGTGGGGGGTGCGTGTTGTGCTACCGCCACGAAGGAAACAAGAAAAAGAAGGGGAGTATATGGATTCTTAGGAGTTTTCTCTTGTCGTTTTGTTTATATTTTATGATAGTTCTTCTCTTGAGCGGTTGTAATGCAGACCTGCATGCTGATGACAAGCATAGAAAGTTTCATACGCATGCCGCCCACGTTACTACAGCTCTCGTCAGGGGAGTATATTTCTGCCTTTTCCCCTCACCGAATGGAACAATATTCTCTTTCTTGTCGTATTAAACCCTTAGATGTCATCTACAGATGACAGGGGGGCCCTCATATCTTCTTTCTTGCCTCTCCCTGCAACCCTCCTAAGCACCAGAAAACACAAACAGCAACACCACCACTACCCGCATCTCACCGCTCAATTGCATATCCTTTTTCTCTTGGATTGAATCTTCTTCTACTGCAGCATCTTTTTTTACTTTTTCGTGTTTGTATTCTCCCCCGCCCCCCCNCTCCCCCCCCTCTCTCTCTCTTTCTTTCTTTCTTTCTCTCGTGGCTGTATAATATAATAAACAAGCAAGATGCAGTACGTAAACATACCAAGAGATAAGGAGGATCCAAATTATAGATATAAGATGCCGAAATTACTATCAAAGATAGAAGGAAGAGGAAATGGTATTCGTACAAATGTATATAATATGGGAGAGATTGCTAGGGCCCTCAAAAGGCCCCCCATGTACCCAACAAAGTTTTTTGGTTGTGAATTAGGAGCAATGGTTAAATTCGAAGAAAATGAAGAAAAAGCTCTCATCAATGGAGCTCATAGTGAACAAGATCTTGTCGCTATTCTTGACAAGTATATTCTCTCTTTATATATATATATATATATATATATATATATATATATATATATATATATATATATATATAT